GGGGCCGCCCCGGGCTCCCCGGGCTCCTCCGGGGGGGGTGGGGGGGGCGGGGGCGGGGGGGTGCCCGGCCGGGCTGCCTCCGTGCCCCCAGCACGGCACGGCACGGCACGGCACAGCACGGCGGTACAAGGTGCTTTCCGGGGCGGCTTGCCCTCCCTGCTGCCTCCCAGAGGAGGTGCTGCTGCCGCCTGACCTTCCCGGTAGGACTGGATGGGGTCTTGAAGGAAATACGGCATTTGAGGGGGGAAAAAAAAAAAAAATCATTCTCAAAAGCATGATTTACTTCTTGCCGCTTTGCCCGGCTCCTGCTATGATCTTGAGGGCTCGGGTGCCTTCTGGCTGTTTCGTGTGGGAAAGCGCGTACAATTAGCTGATCAAAGTTTGAAGTCGGGGTTTCAAGACAAGGCGATAGCCTTGACTTAGGAGAGAGAATGTGGCCTCTGGGTATTCCTTCTAACACTGCTTTTTTCTAGGACAGTAATTCCTGGAGCGTCCTCTGTGTTAAAGCTGCTTCCTCTTAACTGTATGTGTAAATGTGCTTTAGCGTAAAAGAAAGATGAGAAAATGGTATTGTGGTATTTGGCACATGATGTTTCTTGCTGACTACTGTTGTAATGGTACTGTATGCCTAAGGAATGGTCTTGAGGGGTTTTCTCCTTCCAATTTTAATTTAGGATCTGAAAGTCAAGCTAGATCTCCCTAGCTGATGCCGTACCTTCAGTAAAGCAGTTGGGAGTTTCTGTTGAAATTGCATCTTTTATGTGCTTGCAGTGAATGGGTTTGCAAGAACTCATCTTGCTGCTTCACTCCCCTCTGTCGGCACTAAAGACCAAAGAGATTAGCACTTAAAACTTGTTTAGCCAGATCATATTACTGTGGGTATACATAGGGAGCACAAAGGTTGAGTTCTTATTCTGCTGTTCCATCTGAAACCCCAAATCAATATCCCATCTCTTGCCTTTCATTCCCACCTTTGAAAAAAAGAAACAGTCTGACCAATCTTAATGTATTTTAGCTCATCGTAATACAATTTGGAAATCACATTTTTTAGCTTGATCCCATAAAGTACCTGGAAGACTTCTGTAATTTAGAAATCTTAATGTTAGTTGCAAGTACCTGTAAAGTATGAGTGCCAGGTAGATAAGTCTGCACTCATCATAGTATCACTAAAGAGTTATTAAAAAAAAAGGGAAGATTTTTGTGGGGAAATTGCAAAGCTATGTTGGGAAAATGTAGCTCAGTTTTACCGAAGGGGTAGTCAAATTGCGCTTGTGTGAATTGTTTCCAACCCAATATTGAATGAGAGTAGGAGTTACTTATCCTTTATGTGTTGGGACTTTGTATGTTTATAATAGGTGCCATCAACAGCACTGAAGTATGGATGAGAAAAAATCAAAAAGTAGCAACAGGCTAGAAATCAGATACTGTTAATAGGATGTTATGAAATCTTGGGCAAGGATTAAAATTAATGAACTCTGAGATCAACAGGTGTCTCATTCTATGGATCTCTTCTGAGATTTATAGCTTTTTTCTGTCTTCATTTCAGCTTTGTGAGGTACAGACTAGCTAGAAAAGAATTCTTGATTTAATAACATAAAGACCTATTTTAATTGTGTGTTGTTGAGATTTTTTTTTTAACTTTAATGGTGTAGAACGATCATCTTTGTTTGCACAGTAGCTGGCTGACTTGAAATTACTCTGCTTTTCTCCTACAGCTTTTTTTTTAGTAAATGAGGGTTTTTTTCCTATATAAATATACAGGGAACAAGGTAAGACTTACGCCTTTCCTTGTAAGTTCCTTGACCAGTGGAGTTACACAATGACTTTTTCTGACAATGCAATGAATTATGGAATTTTTGCATATGAAGTTAAACCCCATTGCCTTTAAGATGTTTAATATTCTGGTTTTTACTGTTACCCTTTAACGAGAGTTTCCATAAATGTGAAATTCTTTCTTGCACGTATTTATAAATATGTAAGTATTTATGAATGTATAAGTAACTCTTTCATAACACTTTTTCCCCCCATTTTATCTATGTAATTGAAGTGAGCTATCTTCCTATGGCCTTGTTGGCTCTTGTAAGATAAATGGCATCACGGAACAGCAAGCGTTGTAGGAAGCCATTCCTAAAATGGGCAATGAAAAAGGTCCAAGGTCCTCCTGGCTCAGCTTAGTAGCTGATCTTCAGTGGGGTGGCTCATGAGACCAGAGACACTACATCTGGCCCTTGTAGTGCTGCAGATCAGAGAGCAGCATTTGACCTCTCTGTCGCTATTGAGAAAAGTTTAAGAACTGCAGTATTTAACCTCAGATGTGATTCCATTTCTGTCACAAAAAGGAGTTTTCCTATCTGTACTTTGCATGTTATTTGGAATCTTAATGGGCATCTTTGAGGTTTTTGGATGGAAACATGTTGACCATGAGCCAATTCTTATTTTTCTCAAAGGGCTAGGTGATCTGGAGAGGGGGTGAGGTCTTTCCTCCTTTCCATATGTGCATATTCTGAGTGACTGAGTGACTTTATTTCTTGTGTCCAGGGAATTGTAGAGCCAGTGGTACTCTTGGGGTTCAGGGAGCCGATTGCAAAACTGAATGAACACAGAAACAAGCAGATGAAGAATAAAGAAGGGATGGGGGGAGAATCCATTGGCCGGGGATCCTGAGGGTTGTGTGAGCTTTGTGTGCAGTAGGTGATACTTCCTTATGAAGCTATGGAGCCAAGTGTGTAAATAATTACACCAAATCACATGATTCTGTTAAGTATTATTTATTGTTATCTCACAGAATCACAGAATCACAGAATCGTCAAGGTTGGAAAAGACCCTTAAGATCATCAAGTCCAACCGTTAACCTAACACTGCTAAGTGATTTTACCAATTTTACCCCTATAGGATTTCTGTCTCTAAGAAAAACAGCTCCATTCTGTAGAAGAACCAGTTTCCCAGCTGAGAATTAGGATTTTTCTCCTGCTGATCATATTCCTACTTCCTATTTCTCCCATTTATTTGTGTCCCCTCTTTCATGAGAGTGTGGGCGTGCTAGAGGTGGTATAGAGAGAGGGCTTCCAGACTTGCCGAGCCATGCCACAGGAAACTATGTAGATAAAAAATATAAAATTACATTCGTATGAAAACAGTCCTTAGTGAAGCATACAAGGAGGAGACTGCCATACTGTAAACAGTAATGGTACCTTCTCAAAGAAATCAGCTTCTACTAATAAAAGGCAAATACAATGTAACTGTCCTTAGTGTGACTGTTCCTAGTTTAAACTTAATTGTCCTTCGGGGAAGGATGGAAAGGTCTGTGCTTTCATATTTATTTTTGCCAGATTCAAATACATTTCCTGTTGACATTGTCATTAAATACTGTAATTTCCGAGGCTGAATCATTCACAGTCGTGTTCAGCATCTTTCCTGAAAATGTGGGTTCACGGAACAAAATCCAAAGGCAGAATTCATCTTGTGTTGGAAGTATTTCCTCCAAATATTTATGAGATACTTGTATTTGCTGTGTGCCCTAAAGAACTACTCGTAGAGGTAAATAGATGAGTTATTTTTGTCAGCTGAACGTCAGAAGAGAGATGGTATTTTGACAGTGACACTTCACTGGGGAGGGAAGGAGGAGGAGACCAGGGAAAGGTGAAGGGGGGAATGGGTAGATCTTATTTCTCTGGGGGAAAAAGGGTGGACTAGCACCATTCTGGCCAGTATTTGCTATCCCTTAGGTCAGCATTGTCTATCTTTTTCAAACTGCTGGCATCTTAAGTATCTACAATTGGTTCCTGTGTTTGCGCAGCATACTATCTTACTTCTTCAGTTCAAAGGACTCAAATGATAAACAGTCTGAACAATGTGTCCTTCTTCCTCTATGGTCTCTGCTGTGTGTAGCATGAGGCTACTTCTTCCTGTCTAAATTGTGGTTGATACGTTGTAGAATTTGCTACTTTAATTTGTAAAGGCATGCTTTTTACTGTGCATGTTCTTGTGACCAAGCCATTTCTTGAAAGTGCCTGTGATAGCAAATTGTGTGATCTTAAGCTGGAAAATGTGATAGCTCACCACAGGGGCTGAAGTATGGGATGCAGCTACTCTGCTGGAATGGTGTTTTCTGCACTTTTCTCTGTTTTGGAAGGCTACTGCAAGTCTGGACATGAGAAAAGTTTGGAGGGAATGGACTCCCTCTGCGATGTGTTCTTAACTACTCCTTTGTTGGTTTAACAGAAAGCTGTTTCAGGAAGTTTGTCAGTGAAAACATAATCTGTTAAGTGGGCTTTCTGATGTGGTATCTGTAATATATTGCTTTGCTTTTCATGTTTCCTTCGTTAGTTTGTGCAGATAGGTGTATAGAAAGCTGTTTGATCAATTTTTTGACGAAATCTTATTCAAGCTTTTTCTTGGGCATAAACCGAAACAATATGGTATTACAAGAGTTAGTGAAGAACTATATTTGCCTGTTAAGCAGGTTTATTCTTTCCATGTATGACTGTACTAGGGGCTTAGAACAAAATTAATATTAAAAGGTAAGGAGTATGTTTGAGTGAATTCCTACATAATGATAATGTATTTATAAATCAGTAGGTCTGACCTATGACTAAGTTTTACTCTGTTCAGACAAAGAAATAGTATCAACTGAGTAGGAAAAGATCTGGGTAGTAGTGCCTCTGTTGCATTTCTTGAAATTGCCTGCTCAAGTATCCCTGGCCAGCATTGCGAGGCTTACATCCGTTAGAGCCAGTGGGCAGAAAATGGTTTTCTCCAGGGCAACCCCAGCCATGCCATGTGTCTTGATGGGATTTCTAAAACCCTTCAGTAAATGCTGAATGCCTTAGGGTAGCTGTGATTCAGGTGTGAGTGGACGAGAGCTGGAGAGCAGGGTGAAGGGATGGCCAGAGCTGGTGTCAGCACCTCTGAGGAAGTGAAAGTTTTTCGTAAACACACAGGAAGGGGATGGGCAGGAGAAAGAGGAAATCCTATGTTGGATGTCCTGGGTTCAACTTGCTCAAAATACATTGCAAGAGTCATTTGAATGTGTCGTTATGGCGTAGCAGAGCATGCAAATAGGATTCAAAGTACATTTTTGTAACTACAGACCTATCATTGCAAAAGATCTGCCAAACTATGTAAAGGCTAGAGAGAAGCATTGCAGCCCACAAGGGGTATAGGAAAACTTGCCTTTTAAGCAACTCCCCTGTTGTATTGCTGGTGTGGCACTTTGTCTTCCTTTTTCTGTCTTGCGAGGTCTTTGCTCTGTCACTGATTTCCAGCTGTACTTGCACTGGCTGCGAGAGGGATTGCAGCAGCTGCCCTGGCACCAGTATAGAAGCACCGGGCCATACTGAGGTAAACGCAAAGCCAGTTTCTCTTGGGATGTAGATGGCCTGATTGATGGTTTCTGCTAGGCAGGTGGTGATCAGCAGTACTGTCACTAGGGCTGACCAGGAGACTTTGCCTCTTCTGAAAATCTCCCACTAAATTTCCTTGGTAGCGGTTCCCGTCCCTCTGCCATGATGCTTACCGGTGTGTCTGAAAAAGTCTTAGAGACACACTGTTTCAAATGTCTTCATTAGTAATAACGTGCTGTTTGTTTGGGGCTTTTTCTCCACAGTTTCCTGGAAAAAGCCATGTTTCAGTCTTTATCCCGCTGTAGCTGTACTCCCTTCCTACCGCTGTTTCCTTTTCTCTTCTCCCATTGTTCTTTTTTTTCCCCAGCATCATTCTGTTGTTTCTTTCTCCCCAGCTTTGTCTTCAGGACTGTCAGTGGTATAAACAGTTTATTTCATCTCTTGATTTAGATCTCTGTGCAATAACTTTTCTTTTTCCCCTTCCACCAGAGAAATAACTCTCAGCACCTTTCATAATCTAATTATCATTTGTAATCTACTTCTGCTACCGTATCAGGGAATACATGCCCAGAAGTATGTACCCCCAGCCTCTTGAAGAGGTGTGAAGTCCAATGGAGTAGCAACCTGGCAGTGCTGACGTGGTCTTCACAGTGTTTTAAGAAGCCTGTGCCTCCTTAAAGGGCAGCTTTGTACTTCTATAGATGGCCAGCAAGACTTTTCTATCTAGAGCATGTATTATGTGTAGGTGTGATCTCTCTTTAAAGCCGACTACCACTGTTTACCACATCTGATTTAAAATGGTGACCTCAACCTGACTTGAAACAGGTCAGTTTCTGTCTTGGAGATGGTCAGCGTGGATTGTCTGCTACCTCTTTGTCTGCCGTTCTCCGATGTTTCTTTGACTTTCTCAGGTCAAGTTTCATTTCTGCTGTATGCAGGAGGTTTTTCTGTGCTGTGTAGTGGCACATGTAAAAGGTTTTTGAGCCAGTGTTGACCCTCCTTGTAAATCCACCTGGTTCACGGAAGCAGAGCATGGGTTTATTGGCATGTGTGCTGGCCTGTGAAGAAGAAACCAAGGCTTGGTATGGTGGGGGTGTGGTGCTAAGGCAAGAGCTCTTGCTTCAGGATTTCTGTGCTGTGCTCCTCAGTGTCGACATGCCCCGTATGGTCTGTCCCCACAGAAAATGAAACTTAAGAAATTTAGCTTTGGGAAGGCAGTGCAAGTTTTAAAGAACCAACTTCAGCAGAGCCGGCACCAGCAGAAAACAGATTGGTGGAGCGAACAAGTGGGAAAAAGGTGCTTCAGGTGAGATGTTTCTGCTCTCAATGGAGCATTTGAGCAAGTCTGAGGACATTGGATACGAGTGGCAGAAAATGCAAAATTCAGCATTTGAATAGCTTATTTGAATCAGAGATCAGAACAGTATTCTCTTCTGCAATGTATTTGACTATGTACAATGGCAGTCTTCTGCTAGGTTTAGATGGGTGAAAAGTCCTTTTCCTTGCTCCTGCAATAAAAGCAAAAATATCAAGATGCTTGGTATGGTATGACACAGGGAAGTAATTTCTCCTTTGAGTACAGAATACAGTTTCAGTGATGTGACTATATTATGTTCATTACGTGTTCTGTATCTTGTCACAGTGAGTGAGATTATGTGCTTTCCTAGGGACTGTAATTGTCTCTGCCCCGTTAATTATCATCCTTTGCATTCTTATTTGGTTGTTTTTTCTCCTTTTATCTCTCTGGTTCTGCAGTCTTCCCTCTTCATTTATTTCTTAGCATCCACCCCAATTCTGACTTCTCAGGGATTTCAGCCTCCTCTCCTACACCTTTTCTCATATGGTTTTTGTTGTCCTGAGAACTTCCCGTGCATGCCTAACAATGAAGCAGCCTTACTGGTTTTTAAAGCATCTTCTTTGCACAGTGCTTAATTCTAAGTTCATTGTGGACTCATTACAGTTCTGAAACAAACTTGGGTGAGCATTGTGAACACTGATTCGTCGTTCTTACTTCTTGCTTGGAAAGTTAGCTGCATGGGCCATGAGTGCTAAAGTCGCATATAAACAACCAGGCTTGTGCACAGTCTAAGATGTTTTTGTTAGGTACAGTGTAATCACGTGGCCTGCCTATGAGCTCTATCTTTGATATTTGAAGTTACAAAGATCATAAACTGTAATGAGCAGCCAGTATGGTCGTAATAAGAGTGGTGTAAAATTCTTGCAGTCTGCAGTATGAATGTGAAAATAATCCTTGTCATGGACTTCCAGGTTACCGTGAGTCTAAATCTGTCAAAATTATCATGCGTGTTGTCCTACTCGTTAAGGTCTGTGTCCTGCACTTTGTTTAGAAAGTCCTGGCCTGAGTCTCTCAAAGTCTGTAGAGCTCCTGCAAGTTGTCTGCAGTCACTTACAGGATCAGTGGAACTGGCTATGGTCATAACTGCTAGGTCTTCATCTGCTATCAATTGCAAGGCTCTTGACCATTAAGCAGGACTAGAAACAATAGAAAATACTAAATGCTGTGCAATCCAGTAATGATACATTGTGAATACAGCAGTGTTCGTTGTTTTTAGAGAGAGAAAACAAGAAATGTCAAGGCAAAGTCAAAACAGTAGCAGCAGTCAAAGTATTAATCAGTTTCTGAAAATGAAATAAATTAACATATTGAGCAAATGCAACATGCTTCTTCAAGTCCGTCCTCCACTCAGAATTTCTATGTAGTGTGGAATAACTTCTCTCAAATATAAAAGAAATTCAGTCAAGTTAATATCCTTGCATAGCTGTCGTCCCAGTGATTTGGGGAACTCTGTGTTCATTCTTGCCCTCGATAAAGATCATCTGCAAAGACATACATGTGTTTAAAATCCAGGGTCTCCAGTTCTTCTTAGAATGTTTGAAGCAGGAACAATCAAGTGAACCATCACACCAGCGATTCACAACCCTCCCTCAAAAGAGAGTTTCCAGATTCCCACTCTCACTCCTCTCTGAAAATAGGAAGAATGTAAAATATTTTTAATTTTGGTTAACTTTAGAGAAACTTCTTATTCACGCTCATGTGTGCAACAAATGTGAAAAGCACGGTTAGAAACTTGGATGTGAATTCTTACTCCATGTTCATTCAGTGACATCCTTCCTTTTACACTTTTACCGTCACCCCAGCTTGAGCAGGTAGGTTCACAAGACTTTAGTTAAAGT